TGCAATTTTTCTCCTTCCAGGTGCAGGGCTGTTTCTAAGTCATACTTGGGTATCTTCATAGGGGATTTCTGGAGACATTATTGCCCTCATCCTCTGGCATACCCGCCTACTTTACCATCTAATCTAATAAGGGGAGCCAGGCACATTTTGTGGGGAGGGAATGGATCCTCCCAGAAGGCCCTATCAATTTTGGCTGTCCTGTGGGCCCTATTCCCTGTGCAGCCCTATCTTTCTCTAGCTAGCATGTCAAAAGCTGAGACACTCTCCATTGGGTCAGGCCATTTGGCTGGTTGCTTGACCATCATCTAAGACATTTTGAAGGGTGAAGTCCCAAACACTAAGGCCTTAAATTTCTGGCTGGCATAAAAGCTCAGGGATCCTTCCACAAGCCCTTCACCACTCATTTTCTTTCTGCAGAGCTGAAGCACAGTCATGGTTTCCTTTGGTTATGCCAAAAGAGGAAGTAACAGCAGATGGTTAACTCCTGACTGCAAGAGGAGATGGATCTTCTAGTGGGGGCTGGGGAGTGAGGAAGTAGTTCAGTCGTTAAAATAAGAACCTAGCCGGCTCGGTGGCTCAGCCTGTAATCCTGTGCTTTGGGAGGCTGAGGTGAGTGGATTGCCTGAGCCCACGGGTTCGAGACCCACCTGGGCAACTTGGCGAGACCTCATCTCTACAATAAATAAAAAATCAGCTGGGCGTGGTAGCGCATGCCTGTAATTCTGGCTACTTGGAAGGCTGAGGCGGAAGGATCGCCGGAGCCCAGCAGGTCGAGGCTGCGGTGGCCGGGAGCGGCCACTGCACTCCAGTCTGGGCAGCAGAGTGAGACTCCAACTCAAAAAAAAAGAAAAAAAAAAAAGAAGAACCTTTCTGCTAAGTAAGACTGAGTCTATACAAGAAAATACTCTGTGAGTCTGTGAAGGGTTCTCCTTTGAGAGTTCTTCCAGGAGTGTAGGAATCAAGTAGAATTGTAGTAATGGAGACATACTAGATGTGTCACACTCACTCATTAATGGGTGGGTATTTCACGCTTACTCTGTGATATTGGATCACCTGGGTCCAATATTTGGTGCTTTCCCCATGCATACAACTTTCGTGGTTGAGTGAGGCCAGGGCCAGGCACAGGGCTCAAGTCTAATCCTGGCACTTTAGGAGGCCGAGGCAACAGGACTGCCTGATCTCAGGGGTTTGAGACCAGCCTGGGCAACTTGGTGAGACCTGATCTCTCCAGTAAATAAAAAAAATTAGCTGGGCGTGGTAGCATGTGCCTGTAGTTGCAGCCACTTGAAAGGCTGAGGTGAAAGGATCACCTGAACCCAGCAGGTCGAGGTTGCAGTGACCACAAGCATGCCACTGAACTCCAGCCTGGGCAACAGAGTGAGACTCCAACAACAACAACAACAAAGAGTGAGACCAGGAGAGGCATTGCTTGGGTTCAAATCAGTCACTATCCAGCTGTGTGACTTTGGGTATGTTCCTGAACATCTCAGAGTGTCAGCCGTTTTATTTGTAAATGAGGACCAGGAGAATATGTTTCATAGGACTGAGGGGATTAAGAGGGGTATGTACATGAAGAGTTTAAACCCATGCCTGGCCCAAAATAAAGACTCCTTAAATGTTAACTATTATTTATTTATTTATTTTTGAGTTGGGGGGGTCCCACTCTGTTGCTCAGGTTGGAGTGCAGTGGCATGATTACGGTTTACTGGTCTCAACCTTCTGGGCTCAGGCAATCCTCTCACCTCCACCGCCTAAAGTGCTAGAATTACAGGCACGAGCCATCAAGCTCAGCGAAACTATTAGACTTTTTTTTTTTTGAGTCAGAGTCTCACTCTGTCACCCAGGCTGGAGTGCAGTGGCATGCTCATGGCTACCGCAGCCTTGACCTTGTGGGCTCAGGCCAACCTTCCATCTCAGCCTTCCAAGTAGCCGGAATTACAGGCATGCGCCACCATGCCTAGCTAATTTTTAAAAAGTTTATTGTAGATTTATTGTAGAGATGAAGTCGCACCAAGTTGCCCAGGCTGGTCTTGAACCCATAGGCTCAGGTAATCCTCTCTCCTCGGCCTCCCAAAGTGCTGGGATTATAGGTGTGAGCCACCACGCCAGGCTTTTGAGACTATTAAGTATTAAAACTTATTTTCTGTGATCAAACTACAAACATTAAATGTAATTTTGGAGTGGGGGTAGCCTTTCTAAACATAATTTTAAAGACAGAAACCATAAAAGTGGACTGGCCAGTTTTACCACATAAAAACAAAATTTTTCACATCAAAAATTAAAAAGTTGAAGTGCAAAGGGAGGAAAATGTTTTCAACATATATGACAAGTAGTTAATTCTTTTATTTTTTGAATGTCCCTCAAACAGTAAAACCAAGTTCCCAGCAATTTTTTTTTTTTTTTGAGTTGGAGTCTCACTCTGTTGCCCAGACTGGAGTGCAGTG